CCCCAAAACCCCAAAACCCCAAAACCCCAAAACCCCAAAACCCCAAAACCCCTTTTTAGGTAAATTTTAAAAGAAATAAAATATTAACAATGCTAATTAACAGAAAAAATGCTACCTCGACTGAGTATCCCCAGACTGTACAGTTCGTTTTGTAACGTTATAGAACCCACATCTTGTATTGAGGGACACTAAAGGAAATTTCGTGAAACGAACTACTAAAAGTAAGCTAATAAGGCACTTTTCTAGCTCTTGGTCTATAAATTCTTCATGAATTTAAAAATATAAATAAAATCATGTGATCAAACCAAATTTTCTTTTGCAGCATGTTGTTCCTTAATATCTGTCTACAGATAGAACAAAAATGTTAGCTAGTGCACAGAAAAGAGGCTCTCAAGCCTCTGGAATAGATACTGACACACTAGGAAAATAAGATAAATCCCCTATCTCAGCAAAGAGGTCCTGACAAAAGTATGAGGCCTGACTTGAAGAATGGAGTCAGTAAAGAATTCCCCATTTTCTCTAAAAATCCTCATCAGCACACTCATCCCTCAACAGAGATAATATTTGGTGAACCTGAGAAAAGAGTCAGGCCAATGACTTCAAAAGTAAACAGCATGATCAGAAAGTCCCTTGTACTTAGAAATTCCAGAGGAGCATCCGAGAAACAGAAGAGAGAGCAGCAGCCTAAATATACCAACTCATTTGGTCAATTTGCCAAAAGGTCGTTGTCTCCTGACAAACAGAAGATTTACAGCTTCATGTATGGGTCTACTTCCTCGCTTAAAAAATTTAGAAAAAGAATGTCAAAAGGTAAAATGTTTCTGAGATCTTATAGTGTTCTTAAAATCAGCTAAACAAGCAAGAAGAGAAGTAAGGAATCCCTCATTTGCTATTGAAATCAACAATTCAACCCTGATGCAGTCTAGCCTGGCTGATATGAACGAGAGTCAGTACAACACTGTAAAGCATTCTGAGACTGGCAAACATTTGGGAAGAAATGTCTCAATAAAAAGAGCTCATCAGAACCTTTACCTTCTGAATTCGAAAGTCCACCCTAAATCTCTAAAGGGAGAATCTCAGTATAGCTCTCAGCCAATTTCAATGAGAGAGGTGCAGTTTCACTCCCAGAATCCGTCTTTGGAGAAATACTCTAAGCCGATCCCTTCTAAGACAGGAGAAGTGTTCTCGCTAGAAAGCGAGACATTAAACTCTCTGCATGAGAATACTTCAGATGTTTCCAAGAAAATCGCGAATTCCCTGCTCAAGACAAAGAGAAGGATGGAGAAAAGCCTCAAAAAGCATTACAACATGTTTCAAAAATAACATTTTCTATGAAAAGCCTGAAGCGCCTAGTAAGGATCAGAATTTAATCACGAACAATCTCATGAGTGATGCACCTTCAAAACTGAGCATCGGCGATCCTGAGAAGAGCAGTAGCAAGTATAAGAAGAAATAGAAATATCATCACAGCTTCTGAGTCTAATAGGCAAAGGCTTAAATCTGCCCATCCTAATAGAAGGGTATATCATACCAGCTCTGGGAACCGAAAGCTGGCATTGCGCCGTAGTCTTGATAAAAAAGAGTCTCAATTCTCCCCTTCACAGTTAACTAATGATCCTCAAGTACAATTAGAGAAGATACTGCAGTATAAATTTGCTAATGAGGTGGTAAGGCAAGCTTAATAGCAAATATAGATAGCTAGGGAACCAAATAATGAAGGAAAATCAACACCCAGAGTGAAACCGAAGTAAGGATTATAACGAGCACATTAGAATGTATAAAATAGCATTTATTTTCATCAGACAATACACAAATTAATATCTCTAACTGTGTAGCCAGTCTTGGACCAAACTTTTCTTAGATATTAGGAAGAAGATTTAAGCTATAATTAAGCGGCCATACTAATTAGAATGATTCAAGAGGTTACATATGGAGACTCAGGATATTATCACTCATTTGTGCTATTATTTTTCCATAATCTTTTTTCTGCTTAACCGAAGTTTTAGAGCAAAGAAGACAAAAGGGCAGAAAATTAGAAAGAATAGAAATATTTACAGAGGTATTGATAAAGATCTGCTCAAGTTTTACTCAAATACGGGTTATACTAGGCATTTTAAGATGAAAGACTTCCATAATACTATTATTCAATAACAAGAGTAAGTAAAGGGGTTTTGGGGTTTTGGGGTTTTGGGGTTTTGGGG